GGTACTCTCCTAAGTGCATCCCAAAAACGAAGAGTTGTAAAGAATGATTATTCAACGAACTGGGTTGCCCTTAGAGATGGGTAATATACAAGTCTTAAGGTAATAAATTGTACAACATAACTGTCCACACTTCAGAATAGCAGTAGACAGATCAATGAATGACTGAAACCCACCCATTTCGTTTAAAATGTTTTTCTATGTACAATCACTTCCCAATCTTTGCCGACATTTTGTTCAGTTTAGCGTGCGGTTAAAGTTAGTACAATTACATTTAATTTAGTCTTAAAGTGCTTCACAAGTTTAGGTGCCATTTTCTTTATATCTCAAGTCTAACTTCATCTAAAACATTTTCTTCTCTGGGACTTTTTTTTTTCTTTTGCTTAAATTCTTTTCTGGGATATATGAGATACAAAAATGAAGCAGAAGTTCATGATCAGTTGATCATATATGTTTCTAAGTTCTAAGAGCATCTCCAACAATGACACCAAATTTAATGTTGAAAATACACCAAATTTGGTGTTTTAGTGTCAAATTTTTATTTTCATCTCCAACAATTACACCAAATGTAATATTATATATTATTTAAATTTTTAATAATATTAAAAAAAAAATCATTAATAAATATTTTTTATCAAACTTTGATATTATGTTTGTTTAATTTTTTAACTATATTAGTTAGTAGCACAAGTTTAATTATATTATAAAATAAAATATCTTAATGTAAATTTAATAGTATAAAAGAAAATTTTAATTATTTACTATTTAAATCTAGCTTATAGTATTACTTTCTATATTTTATAAAATACTTTAAATTTCTATTATTAAAAATAAAAGATAAAAATTCTATGAATTAATTGAAAAACAAAAAAAAATTGTAAGAAAATCAAATAATAGAGTACATTTATTTTTATTTACAAATTTAAATTAATTAATAGGAATAATTGAACTATATTATTAAATGAAACATAGTAAAATATGTATTTAAATATTTGGCAATTTGGTGGAATTGTGTAAAATTTAGTGTCTTATTGGAGATGGTTTACATTATATATGGTATTTTGGTGTCATTGTTAGAGATTACCTAAATAATCTTATCTATTGCGGCATATTGCGAAATTATTATAGTGAACTGTGAAAAAGACCAGTTAAATAAACACCATTGCTAAAATATGAACTACTTTATTTTTTTAAAAAAAACATTAACCATGTTTATGGTGAACATTTAATTAATAATAAAGATTTCGTATCACAGTTAAAGTGAGTTAGAGCAATTCCAATGGTGTTACCCACTATTGAAGTCCTTAAGGATAAAATTTTTTTTTTTGAGTAGTTAAGGATTCTAATCAGAAATAGCCCTCCAATGGTGTTACCCGTTATGGAGTCTTTAAGCATAAAATATGTTTTTTAATTTATTTATTTGTAAAACAATTAAACATTTAAAATTTATTTATTGAAAGAGTAAATGTGAACATACAATAACTAAACATCATCATCATTACCAAACTTGTTCCAAATATTTTCGATCAAATCTTGTTTCAGTTGTTCATGTATACGCCGATCACGAACACGAGTCCGTACGCCAAGCATGTTACCGAGATTTGTAGGCATATCGGTAGAATATGACATATCCACCTGTGAACTTCTACTCGAGTCTCCTTCTTCAAATTCGGATGTATCATACTGAGTGTATCCATCGCGTTCATTTTCTACTATCATATTATGCAGTATGATACATGTTCGCATAACCATACCTATTTGTGTCTTGTCCCACAAAACTGCCGGGTTTTTCACTATCGCAAATCGAGCTTGCAATACTCCAAAATCACGTTCCACATCTTTTCGGGTTGCTTCTTGAACTTTTGCAAATAACTGATCTTTAGGACTTTGAGGGAGTGAGATAGATTGGATAAATGTTGATCATTTTGGATATATGTCGTTCGTGAGGTAGTACGCCAAATCGTACTGGTGTTTGTTGACCACGTATTGTACCCTTGGTGCTCGACCTTGTAAGATGTCATCAAAAACAGGAGATCGATCGAGGACATTAATATCGTTTAACGTACCTGGAGGACCAAAAAAAGCGTGCCAGATCCAAAGATCATGTAAAGCTACAACCTCCAAGACTATTTTCGGCTTTCCTGATCCGCGCGTGTACTATCCTTTCAAAGCTGTTGGACAATTTTTCCACTCCCAATGCATACATTCGATGCTTCCTACCATCCCACGAAAACCGCGTATCTCTCCAATATCGAGTAAACGCTGAAGATCCTCTGGAGTGGGCCTTCGTAGATATTCATCCCCAAATAAATGTATCACGGTTTTTGTGAAGTGACTTAAACACGAAAGTGCAGTGCTTTCACCGAGTCAAAGATATTCGTCAACGGCGTCAGCTGCGCAACCATAAGCAAGCATACGAATAGCTCCCGTGCATTTTTGTATTGGAGATAGACCTAACCTTCCAAGAGCATCTCTTCTCTGCTGAAAGAATAGAATATTTTCATATAGGCGGTCCACAATTCGCATGAATACTCCCTTATTCATGCGGAAACGGCGTCGAAATAAATGAGCTGGATATGTCGGATCATCACTGAAGTAGTCATTCCATAGACGGTTGTGGCCGGATTCGCGATCTCGTTCTTGATATGCCCGTCTCCTCGGTCTAACTGTCCGATTTTCCACGATGTTGTTGTGTGAATCTTCAATGTATTCATCGACAGCCTCATCCACAACTGCATACAATCTTCGATCGACTTCATCTGCCATATTTGACTATCCTTCAAAGCAAATGAAAAAATGGCTAAATTAATAGATTTCAAATACTGAAAATATTTAAAACTATTTCTTCCATAATCTTTAAAACATTTAAAACCTTTTCTTCCAAATATTGAAAATAATTAAAACTTTTTCTTCCATAATCTTTAAAACATTTAAACTTTTTCTTACATAATGTTTAAACTTTTTCTTACATAACATTTATAACCTTTTCTTCCAAATATTGAAAATATTTAAAACTCTTTTAAACTTTTTCTTACATAATGTTTAAAATCTTTTAAACTTTTTCTTACATAATGTTTAAACTTTTCTATGACTATACTTTTTAGTTTATATATATATATATATATATATATATATATATATTACTCTCAGAATTGTAGTAGAGATAGATGAGAGAAGAACAAAGCAAAACTTTTCAAGTTCATTTTATAAAAACTTTTCTAGTTCATTCTACAAAAACTTTTCAAGATGTAACAAAGCAAAGCTAATTGTAAACTACAAAGCAAAATATTACTCTCAGAATGGTATTTGACTATACTTTCTAGTTCATTTTACAAAAACTTTTCAAGTCAAAACAGAGCAAGAGTTTGAAGAGAAGAACAAAGCAAAGCTAAATAAGTGTAATACAGGATGTAACAAAGCAAAGCTAAATGTAAACTACACTGAGAGCTATTAAGATTAGTACGAGATGAACTGAGAAAAGCTAAATGTAAACTTGAAATTTTACATTGATCGACCCTTACCAAATAGAGTTTGAGTACAACAGAAGTTGAAATCTTACAATGATCTTGAGTACAACAGAAGCAAAGACAAAAGAAAGAAATTTCGAGTACAACAAGAGCAAAGTAAAATAGCTCTTCAAGCCGAGTCTAGAACTGAATATAAAGAGAACAAGTAGCTAATAGAGAGAAACCGTGAGTTGGTTCTGTCAACCCGTGAATAGACAAAGGAAAAAACAAAGCAAAGCGCAGCAAAGCATCCCGTGACCAACAAAGCAAAGTACAGCATCCCCTGCCAACTCAACAACTTCCGTCTTGACCTGAAATAAAGAGTTACATGAGATTAGTAAACAAAGCAGCAATGTAAACTACACTTAGAGCTAATAAGATTATTAAACTACACTGAGAGCTATTAAGAGTAACACACCAACAATCATCACATCATTTCAGCAATAAGTTTCTTTTTTAGAGCTAACTCCATCTCATCTAGTGGTTTGAGCTTTGTAAGCAAACTTTCAAGCAAATTTTGTCTAGAGATTTGGTTTTTCATGGTCAACAGCCCTTCTATCTTGGAGATTTCTTCTTCTTACCACCAGCCTTAGCAGCTTTAACTCCTTTTGGTCTCTCTTCTGCCTCTGCCACTGGTTTGCGTTTCTCTTTGGCAGTGTCCTTCTCGAGGTAGGTGGAGCACCACTTCACGTCAAACCTAAGCTCTCTCCACGCGTGTTCCAGGTTAAACTTCATCCCCTGGTCATTGTTGAATATCTGCAACGCAGCACTCATGACATCGTTATCACTTTGCCCACTTTTCGGGTCCCTAAGAACAACCTCGTAGCAGCCACAAAACTTACACACTAAATCATTGATCCTAGCCCATCTCTGTTTGCATTGTCCTACTTCTCTAGGCACTGAGCCAACCAGGAGAGGACTGGAATTGTAATACTCAACAATGCTCTTCCAGAAGGCAACAGCTTTATGTTCGTTACTAACTATAGCATCTTTGCTTGTGTTGATCCAAGCACCGATGAGGATTTTATCCTCCATCGGTGTCCATGTTCTCCTCTCTTTGACACTAGACTCTTCTGTACATGGGGTACTAAAGGAAAGAGGAGACGATGACTCAAGGTCAATGGACCCTTGCCTCGCTAAGAGGTCAATGAAACTAGATGAGGAAGCCATTTGCTAAGGAGGTTTTGGTGTTTTTCTACTAGAAACGAGGAGAATTAAGGAAGTAGGAGGATTAAATAAGGGATTCTATGTAATTGTATTCAATTCTAGTAGAAAACCATCTTATCAGAACAGTACGAGCCATTTAATGGAGTTTACCATCTATAAAGAAGTGGTTAAGAACAATTAAATGGAAGTATGAAGTTAATTTTTTAGTTCGAAGTTTGAAAGTTAAAACGAAATCGGTTACTTTCGAACTAGATTTCAAAGTTTGAATTAATTTGGTAATTTCGTTGTTGAAATAAATTCTCAAGTTAAAAAGCTCAAGTTACACTAACCTCATATAGCTCTCTCAAGTTCAGCCACACGGACAACCAACATCCTCACATGCGCCTGAACATACATGAAAGAAACCAATCAAATATTAAAATGAATCAAAGTTAAAAACATGTAAATAACTGACCTTAAGCTCCTGGCACTCTCTAAGAAGTTTCTCATGTTCATGAACCCGAAGTTTGAGCCACTCAACCTCTTCTTCTACTCCCATAACCCATGGTTGTCTGAAATGCAACCCGTCATTCTGCCAAAACATAAAAACCTTTGTCAAACTTCACAATCAAAAACCTTTATTACATATGAGACTCAACACTTCAAACCTGATAATCTTTGCAGACGAAATATATTTTCCTAGGGAGGTAGTCGTATGTATCCTCTTCATCTACTATCTCCTTCGTGATTGATCCACAAGGACAGATTTTGGGAATCCCTGTTGAGCATCTGCGACGTATTGAAGCCTGTTGTAGTAGGCTTTGTGTGCTTCCATATCACGCTGTTCTTCATCCATTTCAGAACCTGGAAGAAGGACAAGTATTTAAGATTCACAATATGGCTAACAAAGAAAACAATGAAGATAGCTTAAGTCAAATCGTTTCTACAAAGAAACAAATCTAAAAGAAGAACTTAGCTAACCCAGAAGAATATCATTCAAAAAACTTTAAAAAATTACAGATCCGAAAACCAAAAACCCAGAGATCGATTTCTAAATCTATCCCACCCTTTACTCTCGTCGATAACAACAAATAAATGAATTTAAAAGAAGAAAATAGCTAACCCAGAAAAAAACCCTAATTCGATTAAAATCCCCAAATCGATTTCAAACCCTAAAATCCCCAAATCGACAAAATCAATCGGTAAAAACCTTTGGAATCAACATGCATGAGGTCCAGATACAAAATCAATCGGTAAAAACTATCAGATTTACCTTCGACAATCAAGATCTCCGAGTCGCCTTCGCTATCGCCTCGTCTGTTTTTTTTTCTTTTCGGTCAAGCAAATGAAACCAATTTTTTTAACCCCGAACAAAAGCACGCATACATGGATACGTCATGAAGGACTTAATCCTTAAGTCCCGTATACAAGGACCCATTCTTAACCCAGCCCAAACAAATACTATTATTTTAATGGAAATCGGGCTAAGGATTGGGCTTAAGGACTTCCCCTGAGCCCGCGTTGGACATGCTCTTATATTCCTAAACTAAGATCGAAACCACTTCAGCTATTAATGTGGACAACTATCAGTTTTTCTTTTCTTGAGCAAAAGAAAAGTGTCAGTTAGATTCTTAAATTTTGACCATTAAATTACTAGAGATATACTACGGTTACTACCCCTCTTTTCATAATAAATGTCAATTTAAGTTTTTATTTTATTTTAAAATAAATATCATTCTACAATTTCAATATAATTTTGTATATTAAATCTATCTTTTACCTTTTTTTAAATATGAGCAACACCAAACCCCTCTAGACCCCAGACCTCCATTTAGCCTATCTGTTGCCCCTCCTGAATAGAGCATCTCCAAAAGACACTCTATAACTTCAAATAAGAATTTTGTCTTTCCAAAAAGAACTCTAAAACTTCAAATTTAAAGTTTTGAGTAGTGAAACTTCAAATATAGTGTCACAATTCAAAACTTCAAATATAGTGTCACAATTCAAAACTTCAAATTTGAAGTTTCATATTTTATTTGCATTTTGGTCCTTACAATTGCACATCATATTTATAATAATCCTAAATATTTTATTATTTTCGTTTTAATCCTTAATAATTCTTATTTCATAAATAATTTAAAATTAATTTTATAAATTTAAACTTTATATATGTTTAGAAAAACATCAAGATAGTCTTTATAATATTTTAAAACTAGAACTAGACAACAACAATATTACATGATATAATAGGGTATTTTCTTTGTACTTTAATATTTAAATAAATATTTCTATTTATAGTTTTACATTTTAGTGTAACATTTTATCAAATAATATTTTTATACATGTGATAGTTATTTATAAAAGTTATATGAATTTAAATTAGTTGTTACAAATATAAGGGTCATAATATAAAATACAGATAGTTTTAAAGTTAGATTTGAAATTTTACCTTTGGAGTATAACATTTTCAAACTTTAAATATACAGTTTGCAAACTCTATAATAGAGAATCTTTTTGGAGATGCTCTTAGAACGGCTTCTAAGGGGTTTTGAATAACCAATAGATTTTTATTGAAATTATTTTTCATTTAACTAATCATATATTAAATAAGGATATATTAGTCTATTATATAATTTTATTTAAAAAGTGTCCAAGTGAAACTTATTTAGAAATGGAGAGAGTATTAATTACTCTCTATCTCCATTCTAATGATATTTCATCTGTTTCATTTAATTGTCATTCTAGATTTATGCTCATAGATTAATAAGACATAATTTTGTATATTTCAAAATAAAAACACAATTACCTAAACCTCTAACCATATTTTAACCAATATAAAATAAAATGAGGAATTTTATTAATAAATTTTGAATTGAAACTCTAAAAAGACATTTGTTTTGAAACGAAAATGTTTCCTTAGAATGACAACTAAATCGAAACGGATGGAATACATGTCTTAGAATTTTCACACATATTAAAAAAAATATGTTAAATTTTTATTATAAATATATTTGATTTTTTTTACTAGTTATTTTCTATAATTTTCACAAATTAAAATCCAATAAACATAATTAGTGTTTTCAAACTTAATATTTTATTACTATTCCATTTGTTTCATTATAAGTGTCATTTTAATTTTATGCACACAGATTAACGAAACAATTTATTTTGCATGTTTTCTGTATTAAAACACAATTACTATAGACTTAATCATATTTCAACCAATAAAAAAATATTACATGATAAAATTAATATATTTTATATTGAAAATTGAAAATGACACTTATTTTATAATGGAAAAAATATATATTGTGACACTTAATCTAAAACAGAGGAAATATTATTATATGCACTGAAACGTAGAAAATATATCTTTTAAAAAAAAAAAATTTAAATATGAATCATTTTGAAACAGAAGGAGGAATAGTTCACATCCATATGTAAAACAAAATACGTATCTAATTGTTAACGAATATAATTTGTTGGTTATACAAGTAGTTCACATCAAGCACTCTCCAAAAACTTGTAACTCGTGGAAAAACACAGACAAATTCTCCACAACAGAATCAATCTTTCAGCTGAAGCAGTCTCAAGGACAATCTACAGGGAGGTTTGAAACATCATAACAGCTAGAATAGACAAGAAGAAATTCAAACCTCTGATGTCGCTTTGGATAACTTGGTCACATGGGTGCCAACCCTATTTTTGTTCTGCCTTGTTTTTTCTTTCTTTTTTCCATGGTAGAACAGTTTTTAGATTGAAATTTTGTACAGTCTTCTTTCATTAATATGAAATTTACAATTTAGCAAAAAAAAACTTAAAAGGAACATAATCCAAAGAGTTGGTGTGCAAATGGTAAAAAGACAAATAAGAGCTGAGAGTAAAAGCAGTCAAAAACACAGAGTGGTTTAGTGACAGTGAGGCAATGCTTCTTACACATCCATGTCGCAGATCATATGCTCTAAAACCTTCCCACGTTCGTTCACATGCAGCTCTTCCAATTTTTTTTGTTTATATTTCTTTTTATATTAGTATTCTATATATAGAAATGTGTTTTATTTCCTTTATTTTCTGTTTTCTTTACAGAAAAGTGTTAGGTTTGTCTATAATTGGTATAGGATCCAAGGCTAGAACCAATCTCTGATATACCGTTGCTACTCCACAAAGCTAAATTGTCAAACTTTCAACCAATTTTGACCTTGACTCTGGTAATGGTATAACACTATCTCATACCGGTTGAGCTATACATTTTTCTATATTATACAATCAAATAAGTTACTTATATATAAACATCATGGTCTCATTCGTCGTATCATAATTCATCGTTTCTTAGTCCATAAAAATAGTTGTGACTTTGTCCCTTGTATATATGTCGCCAGGTTTACAGACAACATATTAATAGTTAACTATTTTGCAAGATTTAAGAACGTTATCTTTTGTATTTTGATAGTACAAGTAAAAGTTGGAATATACAGTATGTTGTCTAGCCATCATTTGATGATGCAATGACCTCTAAGTATCGGTCTATCTGAAATTTTGGATCATATATTATTAACTTTTTAAAAAGTGTTTAGTACAAAGTAAAAAACTACTTTGTTTAAAAGATTCAAATTCAAACATGAGAGTGGTAACTTTTAATAGAGGTGGTCATGGAGTAACTATTGTGGATTTTAGTGGTATCCATGATCCACCGTTTAACTCGAATTGAATCAACTTTAATGAATATTTTGCTCAATTCTAACTTTTAACACTATTGGATTATTTATGATGAAGTTTAGAACAAATGTCCAAGTTTATTTGTGATTCGATCAGATGCTTTTTGTAAGTAAATATTAAAAAACAACAAGAATGTGTATTATGATCCAAACAAGATATTTTAAATTTTTCTTCTCAAGTTACAAAAAAAAAAAAAAGATCTTCTCCAAGCCAGTGAAATCTATCATTGTTAAGTGTAATATATTGTAGAATTGCGTATGTCATTGTCAACCAACCAATTCAATGTTATATCCCCTTTTAGTAGCAAAAGGTTCACAGACCATTATTTTAATAATAATCCTAACACCCAAGTATTCAAAATGTCAAATGCTACTATCCAAAGTTTTAAAATGCAAATGAAAAATAATTCTACAAAAGCGCAAAAATATTGGACTTTTTTCCTTTTTCTGTCACTTAAATATTGACTTTTTCCTAACTTTCTAAAAATCATATGTTTTTTACTTTTTACCAAAAGAGAAGAAAAAAGGCATATCTTATAAGCGAAGGGATTGCGAATTTTGGAACATGTTGTTCCCACTACACAAGGATAACAACAATCATAAATCATATATTCAGTTCAACAATCCTACTTGTCAAACACATGAAAACACAAAGAAATATACTTTAAATAATTATTTTTTTGTAACTTCTTTTCAATATTTTTTTCTAACTTACATTACATTTCATAAATTGCTTATATTAATTCTAAGAAAGTGAGAAATGAAAGAAAGCAAAAAAAAACAAGGAAACGTAGAAAGTTGTGATCTGAAAAGAAAAAAGGTCATTAATTTAACCAAAAGCAGAAAGTTAGTCCCCAAACATTGAAAGAGGGTCAATGACTCTCACCTCACTTTCAAGATCTCATCCCCACAACATTGAATTAAATACACCAAAATAAAATATTCTAGGATTTAATGAAGGTTGTTTCAAAAAGAAAAGGATTTCATGAAGGTTTAAGAAGTAAGTAGCTTTCATTAAATATGACATAGTGTTAGTATTTGGAATTGATAAAACTATGGAAATGAGACTTTAGAGTGTGGACTGTCATAAATGTGGCCGTGTGTATGTGGACTCGACTCTCGAGGGGTCATCTTCTTCTTTCATTAGTTGCCAAACAAGTAGGAACAGAGTGTATGTTCACATTATTATTATTACTTTGATTCTATGAATTTGTGATAACACCAATTTTTCATACTATTATCTTGATGAATGTGAAACGTTGTTTGGTTATACTCTCTTTAGCCTCTTTCTAGTATTGTTCACATTATATCCTTCACCTTCTTCTACAAGTGGATGGGATAATGGCATAGAAAGAGGCATTAATAAAAAAGACTGAAGATAAGAAAAAAAAGCAAAAATAAGAAAAACCAAACATATCTCCATAAATTGAAAACAATATCAAGATTCTTAGTTAGAAGGTTGATTAAAACACTTAATGCTAGAAGAAGCTGGAAGTAAAAGCAGCAGGCAATTCTCCTTCTCTTGCCTTCACCTTACTCAAAATATTGAAGGTGAGAATTAAAGAAAAACCCAAACTGAAACATTAAGTAAAACCAAATCCAAACTCCATACCATTCTCCTAGGACTAGAGTAAAAAAAAAAAAGAAGATCCATTTGGACCCGGTTTGAACCATGAATCTTCTGTTATGCTAATAAACCTGATTCCTAATCCGATGAAGCTGCTAAAAAAGGGTTAGCTGCGTATAAACACAATGCATTCTGATCTTTTTTTCCATCTTAGAATCATCAGCTAATGCTACCTTCAAGAGTTGTTTTAGTCATAAGCTTTAGACATCACTATGACAAACCTAGCGGTTAGCTCCAAAGCTCCCATTCTCCAAGGCTGCAACTTTAGCCCTGTGAGCAGCAGACAACACGATAGCATTACTGTTCTTCCCCCTTTCCTCTTGTGGGTATTCGTTTCCAGACCCGGTCTTGAGATCAGCCGGTGGTATAAAGCAATCCAGAGACAGACCAGGAACATTAAACGCAACTTCCTCAATGGTCCAGCTCTCTTCCATCTTAGTCCTCGTGTGACTCATCGCTTCTTCCCCAAATCTGAAAAGGGTCACAACAGAATGCCCTGAGTGAGCGATCATGATCCCTTCCACCTGGCGGTAATCGTCTAGAGACGAGTTGTACGTGGTCTCCCAGAAAACAGTATCTCCACCGTTGGATTGGATCCTGGTTAAATGTGAGTCCTCTATGTGAACCAAGAGTCCAGTTTTCTGACTAAAGTAGCCAGAAAGAACATGCCTTATGATCTCAGCTGGTCCTTCACTCCTCGCCTTTAGGGTTTCAGGGTCAGTACATAGCTTCAGAATGAAGCAATCTTCACCGTTCACATTCTTCTCTCCTATGCACTTAGCCTCCGCAAACATGGCAGCAGTAGTTCTCGGATCAAGCCCCTGAGATCATTCACACAAAAAACAAAACACTCTTTCATCTCTCAAACTACTGTAATAACGTCAAGGCTTTCAGATTTGGGGGCCATAGGGAATTTATTAAAGGTTTCAACTAAATTTTTTATTTTCTTGTTATTCAGGGCCGGACTTGAAACCGGCCCTGAATAACATTGAAAGAGCGGATCTTGGCGAGTATTACCTGAAGTCCACGGCGAAGAGGCCTTACAGGTCCTTTAGCAGAGTGAGACCCGAGCCAAGGAGTGTGTCTCCAAACAAGCTTACCATTACAACCAGCACGAACCTTATTACCACCAACAGAGAGCTCAACGTACCACATATCCGGATTCATCTGCCAGAGAACAAAACCGCCACTCTCAGCCTTAGACGGGTTCCGGTTCCTAACGGTTCTCGTGGCGGTTTCCATCTCCGAAGTAATCATCTTAAGCTTCCCCATAGCATAAGCGTTCTTGACAGAGTTCTGCAGCTTCTGTCCACCTGAAGCCGCCGTGTACTGTTGAAGAATGTACTGAGCAGATGATGTCTCCTACAAAAAAAAAAATCAAACAATGACGTCACTCTTCACTAAAAAAACAAACAATGACGTCACTCTTCACCAAAAAAAAACCAAGAAACCCTCTAAAAGAGAGAGAGGCTTTACGATTGGAGTGTTTTTGATGCTGAGATGAGGCAAAGGATCAGAGGAAGAGACATGAATAGGAGCAAGAGGAGCTCCCATGACTCCAAGAAGAAGCCTCAAATCATTTCTCCGACAAACAGCAGTCGCAGCAGCAACAGAAGGAGCGCGTGACAGCTGTCCTTTGACCCAGTGACCTAGACCCGACCCGAGTCGTTTCGAATCTCCTACATTCCCTCCTCCTCCTCCTCCTTCTCCTCCTTCTTCGTCTGGATCAGGACCTTCCATTACAGGTCTCAAGCTTCCGGATCTCCCGACTGAAAGCTCCGGCTGAGTCAAGTAGTACCCGGCGGTGGAGTTGGTGTTGTTCTTCTTCCCCCAGGAGAGAGCTTTCATGGGTGAGCTAGAACGAGCGGGACTAACGGAGCGAGACCTTGCTCTGGACCGTGACGGTGAGAGACCTCTCAGAGCAGAGAAAAATCCTCCTTGCTTTTTCTCCATTTTCTTCAAACTTTCAACACTTGAGAGCACTGAGAGAGGAGAAAGTTTTGATTTTTTTTTTTTTGCAGTGACTCCGGAGAAAGAGAGAGTCTGTTTAATTTTTATGAACGGAGAGAGAGAGAGAGGGGAAAGTGAGAAGACAGAGATCTCCGGGTGTGGTGAATGACGATTTTGCCCTTTATTTGTTTTCGGAATCTCCAGTTGGGGGAGGCCACGCGCTCTCTGAGGATTCACGCGCAGAGGATTATATTCTTTCCAACCTGGCTACGCATGAGGGACACGTGGACGGAGAGAGACTGCGAGTGTTTTTGTTTGATCGTACTCGCAGTGGTGTTGGAGTTTTGTGAGGTTCGCGCCGTTAAGGATTGTGTACCAGTCGACGATAAAAAAAATAAGAAAAAAGATTGTGTACCATCTCTTTGATTTTTTTTTGTCGTTGTTTTAACAGTGGGAAAAAAAAGAGTTGCAGCGGTTAATTAGGGATGGGTTTGTTACCTTTTTTTTAACTGCATAAATTCGTTTTGTACTCCTCGTTTTACAATTTCTATATGAAAAAAAAAAAGAGTAATGGTGCTTGAATTCATTCTTCTGTACTGTTCTCAAACATTTCTATAAATGTTTCTTGCTAAAAATGTCGGTCTCTTCTGATGGTTTGTGTAGTAACGGTTTACTGTCGATGGTTTATAAATTCCGTTTTCATGGGTTTGAATATTTCTCGTTTAAAACGCCATAAAATGGTGGTATGTAAACTATATACTGTCTAAGAGCATCATTATCGCAGACGCTTAGGGAATTGCTTAGGTGATTTTTGAATTAAAAGAAAAAGAAAATTGTGTAATAACGTAAACAACGACGCTTAATTAAGCTCTGAAAGCGTCGGCGCTTATTGGACACCTGTCACTAGACGGGTCTATCTCCTTCGATGATTCTGATTCTCTCTTTCTCTTCAGCCAAACCTCGACGACTCCAGAGACTGTTCCCTCTTCCCTTTGCCGAACTAGAGAGAGAGAGGGCCAAGGGGTTAATCTGTAATGGCTTCTTTTTCTTCGACTCTTCCTCATCGAATCTCTGGTCTCCTTCTTCTTGCTGTCTTCTTTGTTTCATCATCCTTGGTCGCATCGGACACGGAGGCGCTCAAAGGTACTGCCTTTACTTTGATTCCCTTCGCTTGTTGATAAACTTAGGTTTGAATTTGAAGTTCCGTGTTAGGTTTTTGATCATTGTGAGAATTGGGTTTTGTTGGGTTCGTTCCTTAGACTATAAAGCTTTATCGTTGTTGTTATCCCCTGCATAGTGTGTGTGTGTATACTGTATATGTTTCTGTGTTTTGATTATTTATGTAGTGACATATGAATTCAATATCTTCAGGTGTTGGTCCTGGCCACTCTGGTGTAATGAAAGTGTCACATACACATGGTGTTTGTAAGGAAAGTGTATATAGAAATTTGTATAAATGAAACTGTATTGACAAGCTCACAAGATCAAAGGTTTATTCAAGATAAAACATTTTTCTCAAGTTCATCTCAAGTTCACAAGATCAAACATTCTTTTTCTTTTTCAAACCCATTTCAAGTTACTTCTTCAATCTCAAGTTCTTTCTTCCTCATCTTCAAACAATTTATAACATATGATCAAACATTTTTCTTCTAATTTTTTTTTTAAAAAGTTTAAGCACCCCTAAATAAGATACTTGCAATGGAGGGGGAAAAATGAAAAATTGCTTAGTTAAGTTGCTTAAAAAAAAAACACTTTAAATACTATTATTATATGACTAAGCACTCTATAATGGAGATGTGGGATAAAGGTGCTCTAAGATGACTATTCTGAACTAACAAGAACGCTTTAAAAAGCATAACATGAACTAAAAAAAATAAACCACGTAGACGACCACTTCTATAAGTTTTATTACATGTAATTTTAGTTCTGGCTACTTTAAGGTGATCATTCATCTTAAAGGTCCAAGATGTATAATTGAACTCGATTGGTATTGTAATATCATAAGATGCAATCTCAACCAAGGATGGTAGCCTAGTTGTAGGATTTGATGTCTATACACATCAGTCATGTGTTAGATTCTTTTTAGAAATTTAATTATCACCATTTGGCTAATTTAGATTTGGATTTCGGTCCAGATGGTTTATATAGTGGGTCGTAACAGATGATCGGTCCATCTCCTATATTAATGTGAAGATATTCTAAAATCAGGTCAAACAGTATATTAGGCTTTCGGACTAGTCCAGTTTGTAGTCAATAGGATCAGCTGATATGGTTTAAAAAAAATGCAATCTCTTAATTATGTGGTAACTCGGGTCACTGATGTCTTGGTCTAAATCAGAATACACGCATCATGGCAAAACATACATACTGTTGAACAGTGCACCAGTTGCAAACGGAACAAAATTCTTATCAGGTATGAATTTTATTTTATATTTATGAGTCTTATGTATTCGCTCGCTATACACAAGAGGATATTGAACAATCAATTATTTTGCCAATGGATATATATATTAATGAGTTCAGATTTTATTATGTGAGTACTGAGTTTCTTCAAGAGAAATCAATTATTTTGCCAATGGATATATATATTAATGAGTTCAGATTTTATTATGTGAGTACTGAGTTTCTTCAAGAGAAAGGAACAAAAAAGAAGTCATAGGAGAGGGTTTCTTCTTTATCCGACAGAGAGAACAACCATTTGTGTGTGTTTTCATTGGCCAATTGCGTAAAGATAGCATCTCTCCCTCTTATACAGTAGACGTTCTTATTTAAAAAATGTGAATTATTCAAAACTAACACTTTCGTTCTGTAATGTAATAATGATTGGATTACACTCCTCACATCGACATGCTTAAGGCATAATGTGAGAATAATCTAGCTTCTTATATACGTCAATACTAGAGCTTTCTCTTATAAAAGCTTCAATATCAATATTAAAGTTATGAGTTTGATGTGCAGTTGATATTTCCAAAGCTATTAATTTGGTTTGTGCTGTAGTATCTTTTGATTATATTTACAAAATGTGCATAACGCCATAGCCTCTACTTTTTTTTTTTTTTTTTTTTTGGGCAAAGCCTCTACTTTTATAATGGGATAANTTTTTTTTTTTTTTTTTTTTTTTTTTGGGCAAAGCCTCTACTTTTATAATGGGATAACAACAAACACTTAAGTTAAAATGCAGATCATATCTATAGCAAAAAATGAATAAGTGCTATAGTATTATTTTGTGAATTGTCAATTAATTGTAGGGGCTCCAACATGCATCCTGGTTCCTTTTTAATTTGCAGGAATGATATTCCATTCAAGTTCATTCATGTGTGCTTTGGATTTACGTAATTTATTAAAAATATCTCGTAGAGTTCTTATTTGTACAAGTATCTCGTAGAGTTTTCTTAAAATTTTAACTTGAGAGTATTATGAACCTAGAAAAGTTTCAGACTAATTCCAAATAGTAGGGGTGGGCACAGTTACCTGCTACTCGGCTTGTACTCGCTACTTGATTCGTACTTGGCTCTTAAAGTCAAGTACTCGTTTTGTTCAAGTCGAGTATCAAGTCGTTTATTTCAATTACTTGCAAGTATAAGACAAGTACCAAGTACTAAAATGAAAATAACTACTTGGCGTTGTTGCTTGTTACTCGTGACTTATTACTTGATTTATTACCCGTTTTTTACTTTTAGACAAAAAAAATCTCTAAATTATAATTGGAATACTTATTTATAAAATAAATAAATTAAAAGTGATATATTATATAGAATATTTTAGAGTTTTCTTTTAATTTTATATTTATCATATATCGATTTAAAACATATGAAAAGTAAATAAATATTCTTTATTAAAAATTGTTTAGATTATAATTATAACTAACTAATTTTTTGTTAAATTCATATACAAAGTTTAAGTAGCTAAAATTAATATACTATTATTAAATAATTTAAAAATAATTATATAATAATTTATAAATTAGTTTAGAAATAACAAGTAGTAAAACGAAGTAAGTACTTGCAAGTATACTATTTTTTAGCAAGTATTTAAAAATGCAAATACTTGTTTTTAATAAAATATAGTAACATGACTAAAAACTCGAATAGTTTTCATCAGGAACATTAGACCACCACGATTAAACATCGTAGAGTTATCAACAAGGTTTTCATTTCCTCCCGAATTAAATCAATAGCAATAAACTCAACCAAAAAGATAATTACGTAGGAGCTAATTTCGAGCTCATATATCTCATTCTCATCCCGTGTGATGCGAAGTTTGTAGTCTTCTAGGTTTAACGGCCGTAATACTCTTCTTAGATAATTGATTCATTATTTTTAGCTAAATGAATGGTTTTGCTTGTTTATCAATTTGTTTACAAATACTAACTCCGAGGCATGCATCAACGCTAGCACTCCACCTCAGCCCTAACTACAGCTGAACCGATCGATGGTACCAGTCCGGCTCACTTGTGGAGGATGTATTCTTAACAAACAAACAAACAAATACACTATTCAACTATTCATACAACCTCCTTGTTTCTATGATTACACATTAGAACTTGATTGTCTAATCAATACATATGTTATAGTATATATATGGAAAAAAGTTTCCCAGCTACACGAAGTTTACACTAATATGGTGGAAACCATCCCATGTATAAAAATGTGTCAAGAACTACACGAAGTATATGTTAATACATGCCACATGTACGAAGTAAATGATATTATGGTGGCAACATCACAATCGGATTTAATTGTTCTTAAGCTAAGTTAATGGGGTCAATCCGTAATTTATGAAACTTAATAAACTTAATTAATTTTAAT